TTCCTTTAGGAATTTCAGGGTGGGGATGTGCCGCTGGGACCCTGGAACCCTTAACCTATACCAGAGCAAGTTCAGCTGAATTTTGCTACCCTATACTAGAGTAAACTCCTCAAATCCCCCTATCCTAGAGTAGCTGTTTCCCTAGTCTTGATAAAATCTTCAACCAACTGATCAGTTTCCTGAAAAATGATACCCTATTCTAGACCCAAACGCTCTGATTTATATATCCTATCCTAGAGTAAACTGCTTGAAAACCATACCCTTCACAGCGGCACATACCTATATAGCCCATATATGGCAGTACCCCCCCGGGGAGTCCTCCCTCTAAGCAACGTTTGCTGAGTTGATATTCAAAGTACTTTAACACTGCACCAGATGTCCGAAAGAAAGACAAAGAAAAGTAAATCTATAGTATGATGATTCACTCAGGGGTGGGCAGTGTTTTTCATGTTCATTAATGTACAGCAATATCCAATTTTGCACAAAAAATAGTCCAAGTTTAGCATTAAAAGAGTAGATCTTTGGTACAGTTAAACTGAAGCATTCAAAATAGCTCATGCACGTTAAACATGCCTATGTTGATTAACTGGTGACGCAACTTTGTGTTGTCCAATTCGGTCTGCAATCATACCCATGATAAAAGAAATTGGACTCCTGCTGTGTGGTTGTCCCATTTTGTTATCACTTGTATGACTACCAACCAAATTGGACTGCAATCAGTGCTATGACCATTAGTTTACCATCTGATTACAAAACATGCAACAACATGAATTTGAAGGTGGCTTATTTTGGTCGAATATAAAGATCAAAGGTTATCAACGCTAATTGAAAAATCGTAATCACCGATTACTCTCAACAAATCTTATTATCCATTTTTTAATATCCGATTTCCGATATTTAACTAGTAAGTATTGTCATTGATTGTTATCGAATAATAAGGTTAGCATTTATTTAAGTTTAAGTTTAGGTTTGTTTCTGTCTGTAAATACACCGTAAGCATTTATCAAAGCAGTTATGGGCAGCAAATGATTTTATCTTTCGAAGAAGCCGTATCACATTTAGGCTTAACCTACAACCGGAGGGAAAGAAGAAAATTGTTATGCTTACCATTGTTAGCATTGAGTTCCTTTAAAGAGTCGTAATTTTGCTGTGGCGATCCAGGAGCTGCAGAATCCTTCAATTCCATTTCCTCGCTGTTTCCAGCCATGATGTAATAGCCGTTTTCATTTACAAGAGTCAATCTGAATCAGATTGCCCACCAAACGAACTGTTCCACTAAACTGCGTAGGAGTTATCAGAAAGGACCAGAAACGAGTCAAAGAAGCTACATTTTGTTGTATATAAAGGACTCAAAACTATCGGCCAGCAAAAGAACAACAGCGGCTGAAGTTGAGATTGAGTTGAAACGTCATCATCAAACCCGAGAAAAGCCTGGAACGAGGCTGTCCCTACCTCATGTCAAGCCGTCATATAGTTGTCCATATACTCCGTATCTTTTATCTTCTTTCGGAACCTCCCCAAGTGTCCGCTTAATCGAGGGTGTCCGCTTAATAGAGGTTGTAAAAATTGCGCAATGTTTGTTAACGATCAACATTCAACGGTTACTCTGTACAGTGATAAAGCTGCATGCTGTTCAAGCAGCCATCCAGAGTTCAAGTTCATTACCTCTCAATACCTACTTTACAGTCAAACCAAGTCAAGCGTACCCCCCAAGATTCTATCAGTGAATTGATTATTTGAAAAATGAATCCGTTAGCCGTTCCCGTAACTGGTGTCAAATTCAAAGCGGCATTTCTGCATGCGTAATGAGCATTGAATATTTTACGAGAACTTCTCTGTATTTGGTCAGATTGGAAATCTTTGAATGGATTAAGCTTCTTAGAAGACATTTACATCAATTTCAGGAAAATGGAGCTGGTAGAAATTTCATAACTGCCTCGCGTGTGAATTCACGGCTCATTACACATATAAGAATGCAGAGATCAATCTGAAATCTACAACTAGCAATAGATTCAACTTTTGAATAATAAATTCATTAATGGATTCTTGGGGGGTACGCTTGACTTGGTTTGACTGTAATTTGTCTGTAAATGCAAAAACATTAACTGACTTCAGTATGTATTTCAAGGACGTAATCCAATACTACTATTGTCAATTCAGTCCGGTGTCCGCTTAATAGAGGTTTTTAACAATAGAAATTAGCCAATTACAACTTATTTTAGTGCCCGCATCCGCCAGTCCGCTGAACAGAGGTTCGTTATAACACAGGTAACCCAAGCTGGAAATATAAGCATCGGCGAACATCGACATTGTTGTATAACATTCGAAATATAAGGATTTATATGGAAAAAAAACCTATCGTTACCGTAACCCACGAAAATTAAAGGATTTCAATAAAAAACAGCTTACCTTGCATAAAATCTGTGTTACATCTCTCCTGTGTGGTCGATGGGCCGATTTATGGCCGTTTTATGGTTGTACTGTAAACGTTTTGCTATATATGCCTTCTAAAAGTAAAAGTACCACAGAAATTCTAATTCACAGTTTTGTTAGCTCGAAGTTGGACTTCTGTAATTCTCTTCTTTTTGGTGCCCAAAAACGGGACATAGTTAAGTTGCAGTCCGTTCAAAATGCGGCTGCTCAAATTATAGCGGTCTCAAAAAACGAGATCACATCACCGAGACTCTAAGAGATCTTCACTGGCTTCCTGTTGAGGAGAAAATTGTTTTTAAAATAAATTTAATAACTTTTAAAACATTGATTGACTTCGGTCCCCGTTATCTTGATAATATTTTAAAATTTTACCATCAATCAAGGACATTACGGTCATCAAGGGATCATTTACGCCTTGAAGATCCAAATTTTAACATGAAAACTTATGGCCAGCGAGAGTTTTCTGTTGCTGCCCCCGACTATGGAACAAGCTCCCCTTTGATGTTAATCTTTTTAAATCTAAGTTGAAAACGTTTCTTTTTAAAAAGGTATATGACATTTAGTTTCATCATATTTGTTTTTGTTTTCTTTCCTTTTTAAGATGTGTATGCTATAAATTTATATTAAATTTAAATTAATATGTACAGTAGTGTTATATGTAAGCTTGCGATTAATGATATTCTTATGTCCTTTTTTACATTGTAAAGCGCTTCGAACAGCGATGTATAAGCGCTATATAAATTCCATTATTATTATTATTATTGAAAATGGAAAGGTCTTAATTTGGATGGACAATCCGCTTGACTTTATCCATCTGTTTTCCCGTCAATTCTGACGGATTTTGAAGACGGATTATCCGTCTCTAGTGTGAAAACGGCCACTGTCGTTTTTCCAATCAGTTTGAAAGGAAATTCTAAACGCACTACCGGAACTTCGCCAGTCATATAACAGGGGGCTCGGAACAAGGATCTCGGCGCTCCTTCGCAGACGTTTTAAAACCGGGGTTAGATCACAGGGGGCCCACACAATCTGTGTAATGTAAATAACGTCCTTTTGCCTAAATCCTTCAAAATCGCACAAAAAAACCGCTTTTGAGGCAAAAGGAAGACGATATACCACAGGTAAGGTAATTCAACGATTGATTTATATACATACTTAGCGATGTATCGCCGTAGGTGAAGCAAACAGTAAATCCAATACATTTACCACAAAATAACAATCGTTTACACACACACAATGTGCGGGTGCCCTGTGGTTAGATAACATCTGCGATGCAGGGTACTGTTCCGATGACGAGGTCTAAAAAGCCTTTGACAAATTGCTCCATAAATGTCACCGCCGTTCTTGATTCCACGAAGAGATCATATTTCTAATGCGATAATCTTTTTCATTACATCTCCCCATTGCTACCCAATATTCTGCCATATCTTTATACACTTTCCTTTCAAGCTGAGTCTTCGAGAAGTACGATTTGCAAATATCACACAGGGACAAGTCCATGTCATTAGCAGTGACTTTAAATTTTTTTCGCCAAGCGAAATACTCATTGTAAGCCGTAGCGTTTCTGTCCAGATAATGAAGGTATTCCGCTAGCTCTTTCACAGTTTTAAAGTTCATAACATTGATATATGACCCAGGGATGGCCAGTTTAGTATAATTTGCTCCTCCCAATACGACAGGAACAACATTTTCATCACCTGAAACACAAAAATTGATAGATAAAATGGGAGTTCAGAAGTTAGAAGTGAACTAGAAGAAGAGAGTCTATGATGTTATGATTTGGTGATCACGTTAGTAATCCTAGGAGTTTGAAGAATGAAAATTGTATCCCTTGGGGTGGATTTCCACTGTCGGGTAACTTATAGGTGCGTACGTGCGTAAAATTTACGCTCACAAATAAAATAGAGGCAAAGCATGAAAGGTCGCGTGTACATTTCGTTTGCGCGGGGCTTTAGGCAAGCGAACAGCGTTCGCTTGCCTAAAGCCCCGTGCAAACCGACGCAACATTGTTGGTCAACAATTCCCAACATTGTCGAATGTTACATGTTGCGTCCGTTTGCACACCCTGTTGCATGTTGTTGCGCGTTGTTGGCAGTTTTTCGAAAAGTTTGAAACCGGTCAAACTTTTGACCGAACAACTTCCAACATTTCTGATGTTCTGGGATCGCCGAATCGTAGCGCAACAATTTTGGATCCGTTTGCACAGCTCTTCCAACATAATTGGGGCCACGCAAACACATTACACATGGTCTCTAGATTCTTATGGGTTGTACCCTTCCCATGATGCACTGCAGGTCCTAACATTGGTGGGAGTTGTTGCCGTCGTTTGTACACCACTCGTGCCAACACAGACGCACCACAAACTCCCAACATTGAGTGACTGTCAAAGTCACCAGGTGTGGTAATGGCTTCCCAACAATACTTAGACTGCAAAACAGTCGGTTTCTTTGCTCAAAATCAGTAAAGAAATCGGTGAAGCGTGGCGAAAGAGTCTTGCGCGCGCGAAGCGCGTGAGCCACACGCTTACTCACACGCCCGTAGGGCGTCTCTCCCCAATCTCGCTCTCTGTTTCAGCCTCGTTCCAGACCTTTTGTTTGACTGCTCGCGCGTACTTGAATATGCAAAAATACGGACTGTTTTGCAGTCTAAACAATACTCTGAATTATATTCTCTATTCTGCGGTTCTAACTCCCGTGTTCAGCACTTTCTAGATAATCAACAGTTTTATTCGACAAACAAAATAACGGAAATAACATTGCACATTGGTTTCTGGGAATGTAGCAAGAGGGTTGTTAGGTTGTTGGGTTTTAGTTCTGAGCCCTTGAGTTATTATAATTATTAACATGTTTATTAGGTTTTCACGGGCCAACGGGTTTATTATTATTAGACTTTCAAAAGAAGTCCTTCGTCCTCGCGACTTCGTCGCTTTCTCGGCCTCTTCGCGGCCTAAAAACCTGCCAGAAAGGTCACCCCGTCCGCAAGGAAACTGGTTAGATCGACTTGGGGCAAGTATAAACGGATTTATGGTTCTGGATTCTTGGTTAGGTTTTTACATTTGTGGGTTTACGTGTTTATTGGGTCTCTGATAGGCCTGTGTCTAGGGGGCTCCAAACAATAGCTTATAAACAGGAGCCCATCAAATGGAGCCTCCATCTCCATTAATTTCTTGAGTCAACCCTTTCCCGAGTAGACTTATAAATAGAAGGGATAGTTTCCCGCGAAAAGTGTCATATCTCCGTGAGTCTCGTGTGTCACCTTGAAAAAATAAAATTGGATGAAGTCGAACTCAGAAGCCCGTCCTTCGACCGTTTTCCTTCTTTCCTTTTCGTCCATTTTTACAATTTTACAGCCGCTGGGATCTGGGTGTCATGAAATAAAAGTTAATAAATTACCCGACTGAGACTGAGCATGAAGCGATGGGACAAAGGCAGCGAACTGAGGATCACGGAAAGGTTATCTTTGCGAGTGTTTCATTTTTTGCTGTCATACATCCCACATTTAAGCATGCACCTTGAAAAGAGTCGACGATTAAGCGTTCTGTGGACGATTTGGAACTTTTCGATGATCAGCGCCGAAAAAGTGCCAGGATCATTTGATTTTTGTCATCACCGTGGAGTGGATTTCGCCAGTTAAGAACCGCTTGCAAAAGCGATGCCCTAAGTAGCAACTAACGAGGAATGCTTCAGCTCCGAAATTTGAGAAATTGCAGTCTTCCTTTACAACTGACTTGTATCATCATGAGAGTTGCCTGATAAAACTGGCACTTGAAAAGTTGAACAGAAGACAACAGTTGCTCGACCGTGAAGCTAACTCAAAAGTAATTTGCTAACGGAGGAATTTGTGACATCGCGCTCTAGTCCAAAGACCCACTTATCTCAAGAAAAACAAAATGGATTGTATCTGCGCTAAAAGAATTACGACTGACTAACAGGACAATTCTCAGCAGTTAATGTAGAAGTTTAGGCTCAATTCCTTCCTTCGAATTCGTATCTGTAGATCACTTTTTTGCGAGAAGACAATGGCTGGACCCGGCGTTACAAAACATAGCAGGGAATCATCACACTAGCTGACGGACAAAACAACCACAAGGACTACAAGTATTTATTCAGATAAACGCATTTCGGAAAAAAAAAACCTTGAAAAACTAGAAATTTGATTAATACTGAGTCATTCAGCCGAAATAAGAACCTTAACGCTCAAAAAAATTGGTTAAAGAAAACGAATCCTGTCAGAACTACAGACTGCAGGTAGTAGTTAATCATTATGCATGTAACAGACCAGCTTCATGGCCTCTTAATGTGAGACAAGCAACTTAAATTAATATTAAAAAAGTCAGAGTTTAAAATTCTCCACGGTATAATCCACCCGCTAGAAAGAAAAAATAAAGAAAATCTCTGAGGGATGAAAACGCTAAAGTCACGTTTCACTAGCTTATGATTGTGTATGCTTGGCCATCCTCGGAGACCCAGGGGCGGTTAGTCGGGTCGATAAAATGTTCGTGGTGAAAGTTTACTGAGGGGGGCGTAAGGGGGGTCCGAAAACCGCAAAACCGCACAGAAATACGCCAAAAAACCGCAAACCGCATCGGTTTTTTTTCCCGAATACCGAAACCGCGCATACATGTAGGCCACAATATGAAAGCTGATGTCAGCAAGACTTGTGATATATTCTGATAACATTGTGCGTTAGTATTAAGACCCTCTTTACTGTAAGATCGAGACGAGCCCCTGGGCACTTACTCTTACCGAACCAGTTCCAGAAGCGTTTGAATTGCCTGCTTCTGATTGGCCAGAAAAAACAATCAGCGAAGAGAAGCTGCCGGGTGACTCTCGTGTTTTCTTACACGACGTAGTTTTCCTCATCGATCGCCATAGTTGCGTAGCCCGTTCAACTGGGAAAGTTTCTCGACGAAAGTTTCAGAACAAAATGTTAACAACCCGCAAAATTGCAACCTTTAGCACGGCTACAAGAAACAAACACTCTCCGATGAATTTTTAGTGCGGATCTTTCCAAGGTATCGTAAATTTTTATTGCTGATACGATACGCGATGCATGACTTTCACTTTTAATTTCCACACCTTAATTTCCTCACATTGTCTAGTATACAACGCCAACCTTACATTTTAGATGATCATGATCGTTGCACGACTTCTGAAACTTTCTACAGCGTGAAAATTTCCGTTGCACGGGCCACGCAACTACGTCGATTGATTGTGGAAAATGCCGGCTAACTGCAGTGCCTTTGTGCTTTCGCTCCAAACTCCTTTCGAAACTTTTAAGCTTAAAAGCTTACAGCAGTTGACCGTACGAATTGTGCCGAAGTTGATAGTAGTGTTAACTTTAGATTCGAGGGAGACCTCCAGCAAGCGCTTGAAGAATTAGAAGACTTGTCTTTGTTTCCTGTGGTACAGTGGTACAGTTCAAAGCGAAGCAAAGATTTATTATTGAGAAGATTGTGGAAAGAAGGGATGTTTTTGGGCAATTGATAGAAGAGTCTAACCTTCCAAATGTTGCCTATAAGCTAGGGGGTTTAAAAATCGTTAGATGCTAAAGGTTATGAATTCCCTAGTAATCCATTGGTCATAGTGATTTCACCTCTCATGTGAATTGTGGTGGACCAGGTTAAGTTCTCGAGGTCACTAGAAATTCAGGCCGCTTTCTTAGGGGAAAGCAAAACAAAAGATCAGAAATATTGAATGGATAGGGAGTGTTTTCTTTGTTGTATGGAAGCCTGGAATCATTAACTGGGGGACAAGAAATTCAGGGCAATGTTCTTTAAGGAGTTTTACCAGAAGAATCCCGTTGCAGGTACATACAGCTGTTCATTGGTAAGTATGCTGATTTGTTTACTAGGAAGGTTGCTACACTGAATTCATTGTGGGGAGTTCTGAAGGGGTAAAATGGGATGTTGTTGCTCTGGAAAAATGGGATTTAAGTCACTGGCAGGGGGATTCTATCATTGAGAATGGGAAGAAAATGTAAAAAATGGGAATTGAGGGTTAAACAGTTTCAATGGGATTGATGTCCCCCTTTCAGGACACTCGTTATACTTAACAGTAGATCTGGCTTTTATTCAAGGATGCTCAGTAATCTTATGTCTAAAAGCTGACAGACACTTCACAAGAATTATCATGTTTTTTTGTCACCATTTATTGACAATTGAAAGGTGATGAAGTAAGCCTTGCGACTGCTTAATTAAGATAATAGTGCAATTTTTTTATTGAACATTTACATATTATAAATGGAAAAACGCCCCATAATACAGAACTACAGATTCCATTACATTAATTTTATTTTTAAGCTGTTGAAATTTTTTTTTTAACTTTTTTAGTGGAGTTCACATATCTACTTATAATACTGCTTGAGTAATGTATATACCAGGGAGCTGTAATATTTTATTTTAGGTGGCCAACAAGTATACTTGAGTATATTATTTGAAAACTGTCTAGAAAAATGGGGTGTGCATTATATTCGGGTGCACATTATACACAAGTAAATATGGTATACCTACATATGACATACAAAAACTGTTTTCCAACACTCTCTGGAAAAAAGGGAACTGTGCTGAAATTGTCTCTTACTGTTTTCGATAATTCTTAAAGTCTTTCTTCTTTTAGATTTCATTAAGTGTACAACTTGTAGAAGAGAAAAAACTCCTTCCTTTTTTGATGACAGTAATGAAAACAGCAGAATCATTCCAAGCCACTTATGTTGCGACATCAGTGCCAAAGACTGTTAGTCTGCTTAAAGAAAATCAATGATCTGTGACAGGAATTTCAAGAATCAAATCTTCACCGCTTGTATTCTAGAATTTGTATTCTCTGATTGTCTTCTATAGGAAACAATAATTGATAGTTGTAATAAGTTATGTTCTGTGGAAAGTATTTTAAAGACACTGTGTGGAACGGTGACCATGCAATGAAGTTTTTTTATTTTTCTGAAGAGGGTGTTTAAAGATTTAAAAATAATTATCAATGAAGAATATTATTGTCAGATGAGGAAAATTATGATCGGGAAGTTATAAAATATCAAACAAATGCACCAAAGGAAAATTGTTAATATTGCAGCATTATTTTCTCAAAATAAGTCCAATCTTGTACCATCAATTGGAATTATTCCAAGGGAGTTAAAACAATGGCACTGTGGATGTTTGAGGGGGTCAGTAAGGGGAAACATCAAGTCAATCATAGATAAATAGTTTGGCAAAAAACCACATATTATGTGAAATTACTCTTATACATGTTTCTTATAATAAAAATTCATTTCTTCTATATTAGCCATAATTCTAATCACAGTGAAGATTAACCCAGGTCCTTGAAATCAAGAGCTGAAGTTTGATCTTTGGAAAGTGTCCCTATTGCTTGGTCTCTTCTCCCTGGAATTTCCATAAGAGCGTTCACTTCTTGTAAAGCTTTAGTGACTACAAAAATATCTAGATAGACATCCCATCCTTCCACGATTTCTCAACTCTGTACCTAAACGTGTCACACACTGCGCGTTTATCGCCCTCCAAAACTTTCACACCAACCACTTTCAAACATTTTGGCAAACTCACCTTTACTTTTTTTTCCTCACTTATCCGTAAAAATAAACCCACACAACCTGCAAAAATCGACCTCACTTAACAAGTCAGGATTCAGCACATAACCGGACCGAGATTTCGAACTAAACACAACGGCTGTATTTAAAATACGTACGGTAAGGGATCGAGTTTGGCGCGAAAGCAAGAAGGTGCGTGCACTGCAGGAAGCCAGCAATTCCCACGATCAATCGACGTAGTTGCGTGGCCCATGCAACGCAAATTTTCACACTGTAGAAAGTTTCAGATGTCGTGCAACGAACATGGACATCTACAATGTAAGCTTGGTGTTGTATACTAGACAATGTGAGCAAATTAAGGTGTGGAAAGTGCAAGTCATGCATCTCGTATCGTATCAGCAATAAAAATTTACAACACCTTGGAAAGATCCGCCCTAAAAATTCATCGGAGCGTGTTTGTTTCTTGTAGCCGTGCTAAAGGTTGCAATTTTGCGGGTTGTTAACATTTTGTTCCGAAACTTTCGTCGAGAAACTTTCCCAGTTGAACGGGCTACGCAACTATGGCGATCGATGAGGAAAACTACGTCGTGTAAGAAAACACGAGAGTCACCCGGCAGCTTCTCTTCGCTGATTGGCCAGAAAAAATTTTTTCTGGCCAATCAGAAGCAGGCAATTCAAACGCTTCTGGAACTGGTTCGGTAAGAGTAAGTGCCCAGGGGCTCGTCTCGATCTTACAGTAAACTTTCACCACGAACATTTTATCGACCCGACTAACTGCCCTTGGGTCTCCGAGGATGATGCTTGGCCTGTCAACAACGAATTTCCTGCTGTTTGATGAAGTACAATAGCAGTGTCATTTCGTCGTTGTGATTGGCTCTTTCCACCGTCGGCGTGCGAAGTCT